GCATATAAGCATCTTTATAAATGTGTTACAGAAGAGAGATTTGTATGCAAAAGTTTGAAGCTCTTAGGTTGCTATAAGGAACTTTTAAATTTTTCTCCTATGCAGTAGGCAATCTGTGATGGTTCCACGCTAGGAGTTTGTGACTTCCATAATTTTTTGGTATTTGAAGAATAAAAATCCTTTGTATTCATGGAAACAAGTCTTTTATGACATAATCTAACACTACTGACCCACAGAAACTGGGACCAGAAGATGAACATTGGTTTGCATATGACCAGTCTGCACTGGGACTATTAAGGCTTGTTTCAGATATTAATTGGTAATGGTTCTTGTTTTTTACTGTCTTATAAAAGACTGTATCTTGTTTGTTTGTTGATTTAAGCTGTGCAAGATGACTCTGTAAGGTGATGGATTTCAGGTAGTTTATCATTTTTCCGAAGACAGAAGTAGAGAAAGTGATAAGACATCAAGAACGAAACGTGAATTCCAAAGAAGCTTCCTGACCCCTGATGTCAGATACTTGCTTAGCAGGACTTTCAACGCTGTCTCCCGTAACATCCTCATGCAAAAATAGGAGTAGCAGTTGATAAACCAGGTGGTTGTGCAGCCATTCAGAGGAACCTCAACAGGCTGAAGAAATGGGCAGGCAGGAATGTCACAAAGTTCAAAGTCCTGTCCCTGGGGAGGGATAACCCCTGACACCAGGACAGGCTGGAGGCTGACTGTCTGGAAAGCAGCTTTGCAGAAAGACCTGGAGGTTCTGGTGGACAAGTCGAACAAGAGCCAGCAGTGTCCCTGGCCACCCACTGTCATCCTGGGCTGCATTAGGAAGAGCCTTAGCCAGCAGATTGAGGGAGGTGGTCCTTTCCCTCTACTCAGTACTGGTGAAACACATCTGAGTGCTGTGTCCAGTTCTGGGCTCCCAGTACAGAAAAGGCATGGCATACTGGAGCTTCTTATGGCTCTTACTCTTTTATGGACATAATTTTATTGTGAAAACTAATTCTGTAAAAACAATACCTTCTTCTTTCATTGTACTGTTCATCCATTTATCCAGTACTTCTATATTGCTTTTCATGTAAGATAGCCGTACCGAATTGAGACATCCAAGAGGGAGCTATATCCCATTCACTGTCACATCAGGGCAGAGCTGTGGGCACAGATAGAGAATTACAATGCTGACATGGAAAGCACAAGTTATGAGTATTACAGATGCTGTTGATATCTAACTTACCTTAAAGTGTAGTGTAATGATGGTGAAGCATCAAAGTGGCAAAAATGAGTTCAGTTCTTAACAGCAGGTTTGACTGATTGCTTAGCAGTTCAGTAAAGAAAACATTATTACTCAGAACATGTTTGCTTTACAGTGATTTCAAGGAGCACTAGTCAGTGTGAAGTTCCACGCAGTGATATATTTATTACTACCCACTTTGCATTGTAGAACATAATATCTCACATATGCTGACTTATGCAGCAGTTACAGCTCTGAGAAATAAGTTATTTTCTGAACATTTTGTGTCTAAGAATTTTTGAAGATACAAGGATGCTGTGCATTTTGTATTATTTCTTTCAGAAGTATAGACTCACTGGACAAGATACCAACGCAGTAAGACAGTATTTTGTTGCATATTTTATGTTCTGGGAAGGGATATTTATATCTACTCTTTGGCCCAGATTCTGGAACAGCCGCCAGTTTCAGAAACAGCAACAATTTTCTGCTAAAAGGGGACTAGGACTTCTTAGAATTGAAGTTCCCTATGGAATATATATATATAGAGAGAGCGAGCATGCATATATACACACGTACAAACATATATATATGTTTTGAGGAAGAGGAAAGATGAGGTAGTAGTACTTCTGACACTGCTTTTTGTGCTTTCAAACACTTTTTTTTTTTGCACAGCTGAATATTATTGATACTATCACAGTTTAACTGTTTTATTGCAGTGTGGATAAGTACATTTTGGCAATATTGTGTACTTTAATGTTTATGTGCTATTTGATTTATTTTTTTGTCTGTTCAGTGTCTTTGTTTAAAAACCGTGAGCTGAGGTTTGAAGTTATTTTTCCACATACATTAGTAATGTTATTTTCTTCCCCCTATGTGAATAACATCATAAAAGTAGAAACAAAATCAGCTGTTTCAAAAGAAAATCAAAGCTGTCCAAAAAAAATTCTATAATTTGAGTTGATTGCTGACAGGCAGTGGCCTGTCAGCATTTTTCTTCCCTCTGTCTCCACCACCTTCTGTTGCAATGGCAGCGAGCCTTTGAGCAGAGTATCAGTGATTTAGTCTTCATTGCTGTAAAGGAGACTATTCCTTCACAAAAGGGCTGAAAAACCAGGCGCTTTATTAAATGTTGGATTTTATTAATTAAAGTATTAGAAAATGTTCTGCTTTCTTGTAACTATCAGCTTAGAATTTGAGACTCGGATCACGTAGGACTCTTTCTGACGCTCACTAATGTCCTGGTAAAAATTACTGTTGGCTTTACTTAGTTACTGATTGCAAAAAACAAAGAACAGTCACTTGTGCCTTAATGTTGGAAATTGCACTGTTAAAGACATATTTGATTGCTTGAGACTTTCTTGACTTGTTGAACAAGGTAATAATAAAAAATTTCATGTTGATGGTTATAATATACCAAATATCTCTCTTTCTGCTTAGAATTACAAACAGACTCTTCTCCAATTGGTTAAATTCAGAAGAACTAGAGCATGTTAGCGGAGGTGTTTTTTTGTCGTACAATACATCTTTATTTACCTAGACGTAATGAGAACACTGAATAATTTAAAACTATCTGTGTTTCAGATAACCATGGAATTTTTAAAGAAACTGCTTGCTTTTGGTAGTGATGATTTGGATGATCAAGTTTGTACGGTGGATCAAAGTAGGCACTAGTGTAGATTTGCTGGAAGTTAAGCTCTATCTCATGGCTTCCCACAGTTCTGTCTCTGGAAGATAATAGTGGGGTCTCGGGTTAGGAAGGCATGTTGAAAAATAAAAAAGTAAATAAGTCAACAGTGTATTGTTTCAGTTAGAGTGTCACTGCAGGCCACATACAGGGACTTTTTCTGAAGCTGATGGGATGATTTACAGGCTGCACTTCCAGAGTTCCTCTTTACGTAGCTTGGGGGGAAAAAAAAAGAAATACGTGGATGAGATACAGCTTTGTTTATTCTGAAAGTTTTTTACTGTAAGGAATAATAATTATGCATGTTTTAAGTTTTTACTGCCCGTGTGCCTGACTTTATGGTGTATGCAGTTTATGTACTATTGTGTTGATTCCATGCAAAAAGTTAAGGCTGAGAGTATTATATGCTCCAGGATCACAGGCGTTAGGACAACCTTCCTGTTCCTTCTGATTGTCATTGATATAATTATGAAACTGTTATGAAACTCATCGTGATGTTGAGGTGTTCAGACCACAGCTTTCTAAACATTCTCAAATTCGCCCATGTCTGGAGGCATAAAAATGTCAGTAATTTGCCATGGCTACCTCTTCACTCTCCAGAGCTCTTACAGGTTGTGGACAGGGTGTGTAACATATTCTTGAGCAATCACAGAAGTCCAGCATATGTCTGGTAATGTTTTGCATGTCAGTCTGGAAGGATGTGAATGTATAGACTGGAGCAATGATTCAGTAGAGTTATTGTGCATACGCTGAGATAAGCAGTCAGAATGAAAAGGAGAAAGAGAATATTTAGTGTAAGTTCATATTGTTAAGATAAAAGTAATAAAGCTGCATTGCTTATTATTCTTTCCTAAATAGCATATGGATTTCTAAAATGTAGGTGACAATTCTGTAATCTTATTTATGCAAGAGTTCCTACCAAAGTACAAAGAAAACATGCTTGAATGGATAGGAGCTTCATGAACAAAGCCACAGTAGACTAAGCTCTTAGTGAAGTCTTTTTCAGATTGCAAAATGTACTCAAATGTATGTAATAAAACAGGAATTTTTTTATTTTTTAATTTTTTTTTAAATTTTAAGACTAAGGGATATCAAGTACCCCTGGGAAGAATTAGGCTGTTGTATTTGAGGTCTCAGGTATAACTGTCTAATTAAGAAACAGCTGTCTAAATGCACTTGTAAAATGTTATGATGCATGCTTCCAGAGAACTTCCTGTACAAAAGAAGTTAAGCTTCCTCTGGCTCGTCATAACTAACCTTTGTGCCCTTTCAAACAGCTTCTCACTCTGGTTTTCTTTCATTCATACAGTGTTCTGGGTACCTGAATACAGGCTGGTAAATCAGAAACAAATCCCAAGACCTGTGTGTGTTATTGTTAGGACAAAAAGCTTAGTTCAGGAGGGAAAAATAGTCATATTGCAAAGCCGATCTGCAGATACTGTTTGCTTCTCCGTTCTCCTCTTTTGAATGGATTTTGCTGAACATTTCATTTGTATCCCTGGCTTACTAAGTGACAGGTCTGTCCTTTGAGCCTCTAACTTAACTTCACTGATAGGGAATAATACTGTATGTTTCAGGAAACTGAAAGTGTCAGATTTTTTTGGTGTATGTATAAAAATAACTCTCTCTAGTTTCTAAAATATAGGAAAATATTAAAAACTGAAGTAAGCCTTGATACCTCTAGTTGCAATTCCATACTTCCTACCTAGGGAACGAATGAAGACTTTCACATCATGGAGCAGGACTGCTGTATAAAATGGTATGGTAACTCTATGATGAAGCCGCAATCAGCTATACACTGCCAATAGCTTCTCTGTTGAGTTAGGGAAGTTTGGGAATTTAATACTTTAACTTGGCAGATCACCTTTTGCAGGAAACCATATATTTACTTTGGCTATATGTATGTCTACTCACTCTGCATAAATTGATCTATCAACTGTAAAAGAGAAGCCATTTATCTTTTGCCAGTTAGTTTGATTTTTATGGTTTTTTTAAACACAAATCTAGGACTCTTGAAACAAAAAACCAAGCAAACTACTATTATAAATACTACTTGACAATTTTTGTTTTCCTTTCCTCTTTCAGATGAGAACTCTCCAGCCAATTTCTGGGATTCCAAGAATCGGGGAGTGACTGGCACGCAAAAAGGGCAAATTGTATGGCGAATTGAACCTGGCCCCTATTTTATGGAATGTGAGTACCTATTCATCCAATGCTTATCCAAAAGCAAGCATGCCTTTATGTCAAGGCAAGTCAACAGGATGGCATTTGATATCCTTTTCATCAATCCCTCTGATAAACTGAAGGAATCAATCGTATTGCTTTAAGAGGTGGCATTTTTCAGTACGTTTGCTGTAGATTATAAAAATGGAGTTGAGCTTAGATGTACACTTATATTCTAGGAATATTCTTAGACAGCATGCTTCAGCTTAAAGGAGGAGGAAATTTCTTTGTGCGATGTTGTAGTCTATACGCATTGAAAGATGAAGTCACTTCCCAAGAAGTTTAAAATTTCAGCTGGATAAACACTTAATAGTAAATGCATACAAAGGAAAAGGTAATAAGCTAGTAGTGCTTGCTAATGTTTGTTAGTATGAAGGTTAGATTTGTCTCTAGGAAGTGCCAGCCTCCTGTCCAGTTGTATCAGGATTTCTCAGCTGAAGTTTTGTTGTGCTGGGAAATCCACTAGGCAGTTTTGAAATACTGAGACTCTCTGTGTTACTGGAAGAAGAAGTCTTCCGTTGAACTCCATAGAAGTATTGGTAGCCAAGCTTCAAAGCAGAGAGGTATGCCACTCCCTCAGGTGACCACGATTTATAGGGAGCTAAGCCACTCTGCTGTGCAATTTTTTTTTTTCATTTTTTATTTGTCTTTTTGCTTTTCAATGAAAAGGAGCTATCTTACCATCTGAAGTTATATGATCGCCTAAAGAAATTGATGTTCAAATCCTAGGATGCTGTATCTGATCTTGCTGGAAACTCTGATATGCCAAGCATCAAAGTGGCAATCGGTCCCAAAAGAGATGTAAGCTGCTCTACCACCTGTTTAGCCTCACAGCAATGAATCTTCCTTCATAAGTTTTAAAAAAAAAAAATAAAAAAATACTCCCACTCCATTACTTCCCTGTACACTGCAGAGCTGTTAACTATAGGTCTTGGCAGAAATTTTTCTTCTAATTAACTGATATTACAGCAATACATGTGTTTCAAGAGGTGTTGTCTCCTCTGTTCTATAAATAACTATTAGAACTTCTTATTTCTAGAACTCATCATTGAATCTTGCCAAATTACCCCATGCATTATGCAGTACTTTTTAAATTATTTTTTTTTAAAAGGCTTTACTAGGATAAAATTAAATTTAATTTCAGGAGTTCATTACAGGAAGAAATGGTTGAACTGAAGATGAAGATCAAGAAAATAATAAAGATCATGATAATAAACTTTCCTGGTGCCAAAGAAAGCGGTATATTAAGGCAGATTAAAATGTATGTTAGAAGAATTTGTTGCCTCATATTTCTTGAATGTATATTATATCAAGATTGTTGCCAATATGGGCAGTTTTATTTCAAGGATATTTGTATCTTTAGCTTGTTACGTGTCGAGTGCAGTAAGGCATGGAGATGAGGCTCCTGAACAACATTTTAGGTTCATATGACTAACCTAGGCTAATGCTTCAAGAACTAACAGTTTTGACTTAAAATCAGCTGCAACTGACTTTGCAACTAACTGATATAAAGAGTGCAGGATATGCCTTCTTTGGTCGTGGTTAACTAATGAACAGTTCTGCTGCCATACAATGAACATGATACAAGCAATTATGTAGCAGCTGAGAACTGTAAAAAGGAATGTTTATGAGCATATGGTGCTATAGCACATAGTATGGCAGATAAATATGTCACCAGTGACATGCTTCTAGTGAGAGGCCAAAAATTGCGCTGAAAGACTTATATGAATTTCTGATTCTGCTTTTTAGACTGGAAGGCTCTGCAGATATGTGACCATGCTTCCTCAGCAAGGCTTTTTCTTTTTGCTTATAGAGGGCAAAGCAACTTTGATGCAACTACAGGCAGCTGCTCTTTTCTTTTTTCTTTTTCTTTTTTTCCTTTCTTCCTCAGACCACTAAATCACAGCTTAGGCAAACGCAGCGAGTGACCGTGCAGTTCAGGTACAACCACAGTGGAGTTGCCTGTGCCGTGCAGCACCAGGCTGGGTATGGGAAGAGCTGTGCTATCAGGGCTCTTACCATACTCTGCGGACAGTGACACTACCCAGATGTGCCAGCCACAGAGTCGAACTTAGCTCCCCTGTTAGCCTTTTTCTCCTGCCGTGGTGCTGATATAATTTGTACTCCCAGTGTAGCACTGCGTGCAATGCTTGCCATAGCAAGAGAGAGAGGCAAATGGAGAGGCTAACGTCCCCCATAAATATGTGCCTGATTATTGAAGATAGATGTTTCTGATGCTTTAATCTGCCATTATTTTCCAAGTTTTTGAAAGAACTCGACAGTTGTAGATTCCTCATGTTTAGAAATGCCTTTGCGAAGGGGCAGAAAACACGAGATGTAGGTCATGGTATTAGGAGGTGTCATACTTCTCACGGTAAGGGCCTGCAGCAGACTGTTAATAACTCAACAGTACTTCTCTAGGAATGAAAGGAGCAAGTGGAGAACAATCCCAGATTCAGCAGCAGTGTCCCTGTATTTTTGAAGCGGTAGCTCTAATAAGAGGCAGCAATGTCTGAGGGACCAGCATGGGCAAAATGTGTAAATGGATTAATCTAAACTCAGCTGGAGATTAATCACAGCATAGAAATGCTGGTTGCATCCAACCTCCTGCTCTGTGGGACCAACACTCGACCTGATCAGCTGTGGTTTGTAAAGCACAGTCTTAAAAACCTTCAAGGACAGGGATTTCACAGATGCTGTAGGTAATCTTTTCCAGTGCTGCAATATTGCTCCAGCTAGAGATTTCTCTGGCATCCAATCTGAATGGCCAAAGTTTAAATTTGGGGCCACTGCCCCTTTTAAAATCTTCTGATAGAACTGGAAAGAGTTGTGTTTATAATATTTGTCTTGCCTTAACCTCCTCTTTGCCAGACTAAACAAGGCCAGCTCCTTCAGCCTCTTCTCACAGGTCACATTTTCTCCATCCTAACAATCTTTGTAGCCTTCTGCTGTCCCCTCTCCATTTTCTCCATGCTCTTTAACCTAGGGACCCAAAACTAGGCACAGTATTCCAGGTGTGTCCCCACCAGTACCAAGTAGAGGGAGACAGTAACTTCCGTCTATTTACTGGCCACACACCTTCTAATGTAGCCTGTGAGGTGGTTGTATTTGCAATGAGAGCATGTGCTGGCTCGTATTCAACCTGTTGTCCATCCTGAGCCCAGATCCTTTTCAGCAGGGCTGCAGCTTTGCCAGTCTGTTCAGAGGCTGTAGTGATGCACGGGGTTGTTCCACCCCTGGTGCAGACACTTGCAAGTCTCTTGAACTTCATGACATTGCTGTTGACCGAGCGCTCCAGCTATTGCTCATGCTCTGACATGTAGAAGCTCCAGCAGGCTGACGGTAAGCTAGGTATGTAACTGAGTTATAGCTGGGCTTACGTCACTGCAGGGTTTTCTGGCACAGAGCTGTTTCACCTTTGGAGCACAGGCAGTGCTTGATTGCCACCACCTATGTCCTGCTATACCTATGTGATTGGCAGGCTCCCTGCAGGCTACCTATACACAACGAAAGGAGGGCCATGTTTGCTGCAAGCCTGAGAAGCCTTGAACCAGCTCTGGCAATGAGGACTGATGATGCTTGTTAGCAGAGTTAACGCTAAATAACAAGAACAATCTTTTAGGATTTACGGTCAAAACTGGCCTGAAGCTGTCTGTCTTTTTGGCAAGAAAAGGAACAGAAGTTACTAATGTTGAACGATGAGATCAGTCAGCATGCACATTATCCCAAAGATTTTGGTTGTGTTTTTTCCCTAGCAGTGTCAGAGCTTAGGGACGTTACATATCTTTTCACCAGTAATGTAACATCTCTGTAGGGTGAAGTGCAGAGGATGATAGCATCACCAACAAGCTATATGCAAATGAATCTCATGCAGAAGGAGTATTTCCATTTTAGTTGCATTAATGTTAATCAGTGGGAGTCAGCTGGACTGAGCCTCAGATTCCTTCTGCGATCCTCAGATTTGTATCTTTTAAAAAAAGCATCTTATACCTTCATTTGGGAAGCTGTTTTTCCATGAGCATACTTGTAAACTTATTAATAGTTTCACTGAGGTCTGTGGAATTTATGCTTATATTTAAAGGTAGGCCTTGGATAAGCATATTTCTGAATTTCACATTACTGTATATCCACAGTCCTGTAACTCATTTTTCCAGTCATTCTGTTTATTCCTCTTAAAATCCCTCCCTATGGATTCAGCATCTCCTATTTCCCAAGCAAGTAACATGTAAAGCCATAGTTTGCCATTTGCTCTATTCAGATCAAGAGACCTGTAGAATGAAGGGCAGGGAGAGTCTCATCATCTTCATACTAAAAACAGACATTAATTCCCCCCAAAGCATCCAAAATTAGCAAAACAAGGATGATCAAAGTAAAACTCTCCCTTGCTCTAGACAAAAACCAACACAAAAAATTCTGTAGACTTTACCCTGAGAAGGGAGAATCAAAGGACTCAACAGTGAAATAATGAGAAATTTAAGTTAATGTATTCCAGAAATACAAGCAGCCTCTGAGGGGAATGCTGAGGAAGGGGAGGGGGGGAAGAGTATGCAAAGCAGAAAGAAAATACTTGCAAATTACAAAGTCCAGCTCACCATCACAAACAGCTGCTGTCCTTAAGCTGTCACCTCGAGACAAAGTAAGTGGCTCTGAACTGCAGAGCCAACCAGTACAGAGACAGATGCTCCTCTTTCTTTTCCCAGGGGAAAGAGCAAAAGTGCCATATAAGCATGAAAGCAACTCTGTCATTTTAGAGAGTCCATAAGGTGAATTTGAGCATCAGCCTGAGATGGTGTTTCCTTACTCACGTAGTAGAAGTGGCTTTAAAACATCCTGCTCTGAGGCTTGCTAAAATGTGGGGGAAGGAAAACAGTGACTCACTAGACGGCTCCATCAACTTGTTTGCTGTGTAAACTGCAGAAGCATTGCTAAACATGGCCACAGCGCTACAAACGGTTTTCATCCTTCTCCTG